TAGGCATTTTGACAAAGATAAAAGGCTGACAAATAAGCACATGGAGAGATGTGCAACAGTGTTAGTCATTTACAAAATGTAAATTAAAGTCCCACTGAGATGCATCTACATGCCTATTTGGGTGGCTGCAATGAGAAAGACTGATCATTGTAAGTGCTGGGGAGGGTGTGGGAGGACTGGAGCTCTCAAAGTCTACTGATGCAATGGAAAATGGTATATTTACAAACTTTGGAAACAAGTTTGATGGCGTCTTAAAAGTTAAACATACACTTACTACAGGATCCAGCCATACTTCCTAGGAGAGAAGAAAGTGTGCCTCTCAGCAAGGCTTACACACGAATATTCACAACAGCTTTGTTTATAAAAGCTGAAAAATGAAAACAGCCCAACCGCCATCCACATGCGAATGGATAACCCATGGTGATGCATTCCATCCATGCCATGGAGTATCATTCAGCCACAAAAAGGAACGGATCAGAAACGCATGCAACAGTGTGGGCCAATCTTAAACTAGTTGCGTGGACTAGAAGGAGCCAGTCCAAAACAGAATCCTGAAACTCCCCTACTCTGCTAATGGGAGAAAGCAATTTCGATGTACAAAACCAACAAAATGTTAATATCCAGAACATGAAGAGCATCCACAAATCAGTAAGAAAAAGACCGAGAAAACCTTCACAGAAAAATAAATGAAGAGTTTAAATAGCCAGTTTACAAAAGAGGAAACAAAATGGCAAGTAAATACATAAAAAGAAGTTGAATCTCACTACTACTTGGGAAAAATGACAATTAATTCAAAGAAATGCTATTTCCCACTCAGCAGATGGGCTAATGCTAGAAGTTGGCCAGCACCAAGTGAGGTCAGGGTGTGGGGCACGAGCTGTCCGACCCGCTGCGGCCCGTGAGTGGACATTCCCACCACCACCTGGTGCAGCCGCTCATGGCCTACGACCCAGCAATACTGCTTCTAGAAAGTTCCACACGGCATGCACAGACAGACGTTTCTAAGATTGCTCACTGTGGCATCCTTGCACTGGCAAAATTGAAAACAGCCTACCTTGCCCACCAAGGACCAGTAAGTCAACCGTAGTGTGTTTAATAAGAGACCGGGCATTTAAAATGTGAACTGGAGCCACATCGACCACTAAGGATAAATTGCAGAGATGAGTGTGAGTGAGAACCTCTAGCTGGGGTGGTGAGTACAGTAACATGGTATCGGGTAAAGTTTAAAACCCTGCAAAAGAACATTCTCTACTGTTTATGGGAACATAAAAATGTAGTAAAAGTGGGAAACGTGAGCGAATGATAAACGTCCGATTCCTGGCGGTGGTGATCTCTGGAAGGGGATGGAGGGGGATGGAAATCAGAGGGTGGCTGGCCCGGCAAAGATCCCTCCGCCATGACGGGGTCAGCACCAGTGTCGGGGAGGCTGGATCTCCAGGCTGGGGTCTGAGAAGGTGACAGGGGCGGGGGCCCTGCTGCAGAAACTCCACAGGAACAGAGGCTGGGAGAGCATTTCCTGGACAGAGGGAGCGCCAGCGGCAACGCTGGGGGTGACGTGAAGCCGGAAACTGCGGATTCAAGTACCTCCCCTGAGGGTGGGGCACGCGCAGGTCATGTGCCACGTGGGCCCTGATGCAGACGTCACAGGCCTGGGCTGCCTCACTGAGGCCTGGGACTTGGTTCTGGAGGCCAAAGAGGCTGGTTGAAGAAATGTGAGGAGGAGGGCCGGGGCCCAGGGCAGGCGCCTTTGGGGGTGGATGGAGGGCCTGGGCAAGTTCCCCTAGAGGGATGCGGCTGGGGGAGGTGGGGAGGTGCCCAAGAGGGCTCCGCTCTGGCTGCTGGAGGCACACCCACCCCCAGGAGTGCTTCCTTGTGCCAGCACCTGCAGCTGGAGGAGGCCCCTGCCGGCCTCAGCCTCCTGTAAACTCAGAACCTCAGCTTTCAGCTTTCTCAGGGCTGGCTGAGAACCCTCCTCAGGGCAGAGTTACTGCTTCTGACTCTCAGGGCCTGCCCCAGGCAAGGCAGTGCAGGCAGGGCCTCAGTTTCCCCCTCATTCTCTCAGCCTCCCCTTGGCTTCCAGGGGCTCCTTCCCCACTGAGACAGGCCCTGGGCTGCAGGCTGAGTCTTGCCCCAGCAGGTCACAGGAGCTGCAACCTGGGCTGGCCCTCAGAGTGGCTTAACAAGGCCCTTCCTGAGTCTCGGCATCGGAGTGGCTGTGGGGTTGGTAGCACTTCAGGAAGTCAGGGATTGCCATCCTGGGCACTCCCGGCCCCATCATCTTCACACACGCCGTCCCCCTCCCCTGCCAGGCAATGCCGGGCTCTCCTCCCAGTGCTAGGGGAGCTCCAGCCTCTCAGCTGCTTGGTGAAAGCAGAACCCGAGACCAGTCCACACCCGGCTCAGAGTGACGGTGCAGAGAGCCCTGCAGGCTGCATTCCCCGGTGTCCCGGCCAGGCCAGAACTGACGGATCTCGGGCCCCACGGCCTTTCCCCTTTTGCTTCATTCAGAGTCCACACGTCCACATTGCTTCTCAGTGGGCCCTGCAGCCCTGCACGGACCCTGCCTGCCTGCGGCTTCCCACTTAGCTGTTCCCACTCGCCACGGGCACCTTCTCTGATAGGTTTGTTATGGGTGTCAGCACGTGTGAGGCCTCACGAAATATGTCCCATTGTTTGTGTGACCTCATTTTAAAGTCTAATTTGTCAGACTCAAATAAGATATAATAGCAGAGGCTTGAAGCAAGCTTTTGCCTTGGGGTTCATTGCCCCGTCCATTGGCACGAGGAGGACGTGACCAGGCAGCCCGGTGAGCCCAGGAAGAGGATGAGAGTCCCATGGGGCAGAACCAGCTCACCCTGATTATCTCAACAAGATGGACAGCCAGTGGACCCCAGCCGCACGAGCAACCCAGCCCGGACTGCGGCAGCTGACCTCCCACCAGCCCCTCCCTAAGGCTTATTGTGTGCCACTGCAGCTTTGGGGTGTTAATGCTGCTTCCTTGGAGAGGCGGAGCTAATTGATGCAAACTCCTGGCTGTCACAAACAGCACTGTGAAGGGCTCCTTGTGCCACAGTGACCTCGTGGATCTCCGCGCGATTCCTGTGAGATGCACGTCCCAGGAGCCGGGGTGCTGAGTCCTAGCTTGCATGGGTTTAACTGAACTTGACTAAGACCAACTTGTTTTGCAGAATGGCTGTGCCAGCCTAGTCCCTGTAACCAGCAAAGAACCTCTCTCCCCACACCCTCGCCAGCACTCTGCAGCGACCTCCTTCTTTTTTTTTTGTTTTTGAGACAGAGGCTTGCTCTGTCGCCCAGGCTGGAGTGCAATGGCATGATCTCAGCTCACTGCAACCTCCACCTCGCGGATTCAAGCGATTCTCCTGCCTTAGCCTTCCGAGTAGCTGGGATTACAGGCATGCACCACCATGCCCAGCTAATTTCTGTAATTTTTGTAGAGACGAGATTTCACCGTGTTGGCCAGGGTGGTCTTGAACTCGTGACTTCAGGTGATCCGCCTGCCTTGGCCTCCCAAAGTGCTGGGATAACAGGGGTGAGCCAGTGTACCCGGCCGTGTCCTCCTTCCTAATCGTAGCCCTTCTGGGGTCGCAAAGCAACTGCTTTACCGTGTGTTCATCAGGTTACTGCTGAAGTTGGTTGTGTCTTCAGCTGTTCCTTAGCCATTCAGGGACTCCTACTATGAATGCCTGCTGTGGTCTTTGCTCAGTTTACTATTGTCTGAACCTCTTTGTTTTTATAGAAAGGACTGCTCAGGCTCCCCAGGGGCAAGGCTGTGCCACCATCACACAACCAGTCATGAATAGCACTGGACTCAGGCTCGAGATCTGGACTCTTATTCTCTCTCTTTCCCCAGTCTGGGCTCCAGGGTGTTTGGAGTGGGTTCCCCTTGGAACCAGTGCCATAGCCCTCACCAGCAGCAGCAAGGTGTGGCCGGCTTCTCCCAGGGCCTTCCTGGTCAGCTGAGGGTTGCAGGGGCCATGCTGACTCCTGGTGTGTGTTTTGCAGCTGAGCTGTCACCAGGGTATCATCTGTTGTTGCCATATATTATTGCTACAGACACTGCGTGTTAGATCTCAGTAAAATGAGCAAAGGAGATTCATTTCTTGTTAACTTATGAGAGATGTGAGACTGATTGCTTTCCAGACACTGGGATCTGTGAGAAAGTGCAGGATAAATGAACATTATCTGAGGCCACCTCTCCATTCCTGGACACTCAAGGAAGACTTGGAAATGATAAACTGAGAAAATAACATCCCTATGGCATTCTCTGGTCTGCACATAGATGCATGCCCCTGACCTCACCTCACATGCATGGCAGAGCTGTGAAATGATGATGATGGTGATAGTGATGATGATAGTGGTGGTGATCGTGATGGTGATGATGGTGATGATGATAGTAATGGTGGTGATGATGATGGTGATGATGGTGATGGTGATGATAATGATAATGATGATGGTGATGGTGGTGATAATGGTGATGACGATGGTAATGGTGGTGATGATGGTGGTGGTGGTGATGATGATGGTGATGGTGGTGATGATGGTGGTGGTGGTGATGATAATGGTGGTGATAATGGTGATGATGATGGTGATGGTGGTGATAATGATGGTGATGATGGTAATGGTGATGGTGATGATGATGGTTGTGATGCTGGTGGTGATTATATCACACCTTAAGTGCCCTTGGGCCACTCTTTGTTGGTGCCAGGCACATTGCTTATCACTTAGCATACATTATTTAATTGACGGATGATGGTGATGGTGATGATGATCATAGTGATTATGATGATGGTCGTGATGATGATGGTGATGATGATGGTGATGATGATGGTGATGGTGATGATGATAATAGTAATGATGATGATGGTGATGATGATGGTAATGGTGGTGATGATGGTGATGGTGGTGGTGATGGTGATGGTGGTGGTGATGGTGATGATGGTGATGGTGGTGATGATGGTGATGGTGGTGGTGGTGGTGATTGGTGGTGGTGGTGGTGATGGTGGTGGTGATGGTGGTGGTAGTGAGTGATGTGTGAGTGGTGATGATGGTGATGGTGGTAGTGGTGATGGTGGTGGTGATGGTGATGGTGGTGGTAGTGGTGATGGTGGTGGTGATGGTGATGGTGGTGGTGGTGGTGATGGTGATGGTGGTGGTGATGGTGATGGTGGTGGTGATGGGGATGATGATGGAAATGATGGTGATGATGATGGTGATGATGGTGATGATGATAATAGTAATGATGATGATGGTGATGGTGATTGTGATGATGATGCTGGTGGTGATTTTATCACACCTTAAGTGCCCTTGGACTACTTTTTGTTGGTGCTAGGCACATTGCTTATCATTTAGCATACATTATTTAATCTTTGCAGCAACCCTAAGATGTACATGCTAGCGTTATCCCATTTTATAGATGACAGAAAGGGAGGTTGCTCAGCTTCTTGCTGGGTCCACAGTCCAGCAAATTGAAAGCCAGAATTCAAATCCAGGACAGCTGGCTCCTTAGTGTGCAACCTCCATGCCCATGGAGTAGGTCACTTTGTTCTCATGACTTTTCTGTCCATTTCCCAGCTAGGGAGATTGATGTGCAGTGTCCTGTTCGAGGTCATATGAATAGGGGCTGAAAACACATTTCCATTTCTGCACCTTCTTCCAAGACCCCACTTGGTATCATTCTCCCCATTTTGGAAACTTTAAAACCCCAAGTGCCTTTGGGGGCAGGGAAGACTTCTACCTGGCCGCCCGAGCCAGCCCCTGCCGAGGCCTCATCCCAGGACCTAAAAAGCCACCCGGGCTAGGAGGTTCTTTGTCCAGTCCCATCTGGTTGCAAAGAGCAGCACCTGCTCCCGCCTGTTAGAGTGAAGGAGCATGGTGGGGCGATGCCAGAGGATGCTGAGGACACAAGACACAGGAAGACTCATGTCCTTGTCTGCCCAAGCCCATCTTGGTTCTGCCAAGATGACAGCCATGAGAGCTCCAGGGCCAGGCTGCTTGGCTCTGGATTTCAACAGCCCAAGTCCACCTTTTTGGGAGGAAACTCCCCTGGCTTAGCTCAGGTCAGGGGCTCATCCCCGGCCTAGTGTGGTGGCTGGGAAATGAGGAGAAAGGGTGGGGCTCCTGGGAGGGGCAGGGCTGAGGGCACCCATGAATCAGGGATGCCTTGGGAGGAGTCCTGGTTCAGGCTGTGTACTCCCAGCTTCTCAGCAGCGCCATGGAGAGGGGAGGGCTTGGGGCAGGAACCGGGAAGGGCTGGGCTGGGTTGAGATCCAAACACTTGATAACCAAGACAAATGCTATTTTAACACCACACTTAAAAAATCCAAATTAATGCAAACACATTCAGAAGAAGCAAAATAACAAAATTTAAGATCTAGATAGCATCCGTCAAGGCTGGTGGTAGCGTGAGGCAGCTGAGGTGAGTTGTGTAAGCACAGGGTGGAGTCCTGTCTTCACTGGAAATGCAGTTATTTAAATGTGTTATACTCTCTAACATCTCTGAGGGAGATTTTAAGTGTTCTCACAAAACATGGTAGCATGCCAGGGAATGCATGTGCTCCTGGGCCCCAGCTAGCCATTCCATGGTGCACACATATTTCAAAGCATCATGCTGTATACCATAAACATATACAGTTTTTAGTTGTCCAGTAAAATTCATTTAAAAATACAAAAAATGTTGATATTCAGGTCCTGATGCATTGGAAAAACTGCATGAAATTATCATTCCTATTGGTTGCTGAGGGTTCTGCGTTTGCCTCACCAGAATCCCGGCCCTGCGGGATCCTATCCTTATTACAATTTTGATATTTTGTTCACCTTGGAGTTTAAAAAAGAAATTGTTTCCAAAAATGCGTTGGAATAGTATTCCTCTGGATCTCTGAGTTTTCTGGCACCTCCTTACATTCTGCAGGCAGGCACCTGTCTCACTCGCCTCACTGTTCCCAGCCCTGAGAGGAAAGCTCTCTGGGCACCTCTCACACCTCGGCTACTGGGCCTGGGGAAGGTGAAGGTCTTGGCATGGCCTCTGGCAAGGCTGGAGCCCGGGCCTCGCTCTGATCTGCCTGGCTCACCTCACAGCCCTTCACTGCCAGCCTCTCCTTGACTTCCTGACCTCCTCCTGTTTCCAGAACCATCTGGCAGTCCAGTGCCCCGTCTCACTACCCTTTTTCTATCTGCCAGTGGGCACCGACAGAGCTGGGCTTGTCCCCTGGCCTTGGCATTCCCATCTGTATAAGGGCGTTCATCCTGATCACCTTGCCTAGCCCTCTGGGTGCTGGGAGGCTCAAAGGGGGTGGCAGTCATTTTAGAAACTTTAGGAGCTTCCAGCTGCAAGGTGAACTCCTCAGGACATGAGGCAAAGTGTCCCCTTCAATAAACATTCATTCAAAGGAATGCACGTGCATGGGAGACAAATAGAGAAGATCATTGGACTCTTGAGTGCTCCATCCCCATTATGACATCTGACCCTAGAGGTGTTTTAAAAGCTGCAGGTGCCTCTGAACACCAGGCCCCAGTTCCCAATCCCGCCTCTGGCTCCCACATCACATGCGGTACGTGCAGGAGGCTGCTGGGTAGACACCCAAGCTCGGAGGGGTGCCTGGTGCACACTGAGTGGGCGCTGCACACGTGGTGGTTGTGGCTGCCATCAACAAGCCGTGGCTGCTGGTGGCTCCTGCCATCTTCCCTTTCCTTCAGGTCCCCTGGGTTCCTGCCCTGTGTGGAGAGCCCCTGTGCTCCCGCCGGGGATGCACCTGTCATGCTTGCACCTGTGGAAGGCCTCCCCCTCCCTGTCCCTCCCTCCCCTTCACCTCCGCCTTTGATTTATTCATCCCTGTAACAGGCCTTCCTGCAAGCTGACTAGTGTGATAGATACGCTTGAATGGGTCTAATCCTTGTCAAGAGATTTGGAGTTGAATTAAACAGAGCAGATGAATTAACTACAGCCAGGGCAGGGGCTTTATCTGCATTTCAGAAATGGGGAACTGAGGGTTGCAATGAGGGGCAGCAGTGGGGCCCAGAGCCTGGGGTCCTGACCCCAGTCTAGGTTATGTGCAAAGGCCCCTTCCAGCACCTGTCACTTTCCTTGGAGACGAGGTGCAGACGGGAAGGAGTTAACAGCCATGCTGCCTTCCTCAAAGCAATTAATTAAGCAATTGGAGAGGAAGGGTCTGGACAATTATGCCCTAGACAAAGGAGATGGAGGAGGTGGGGGCAACCACTCCAGGGAACCTTGCGCTGGGAGATTAATAAGCATTTGGCATTTGGACAGCACGCCAAGGCTCCGAGCAGCGCTGCTGTTGGGCCCTGCTCCATGCTGGCCCTCTGGGAAATTCCTGGGGCACAGGTCAATGTTACCGTGGTTACCCAGGCCACCGTCATGACCAGCACGCAGGCGGCATCGGGATGACCAGGCTCTGGGTATGCCTGGCTCAGCCAAGACTGTTGACAGCTTCTATGTGAGGGCCGGGGCAGGGGTGAGTGGGGGCAGGGTTGGGAGAGTGGGGGCTTGCAGGTTTCAGACCAGACCCCAGCCCCAGCCCAAGGCCACCCCATTATTTAGAGAAAGAGGAAGGCTTAGGAAGGCTTGACGTCCATCGGGCCTGGGCTTTGCCAGTTACAGGGCAAATGGGGCTCTGCTTCCTCCTCTGCTGAGTGGGGATAACACTGGGTCCCCTGGCCGGTGTGCAGTCAGAGAGAAGATGTGGGATAAGCCCTCAGCCTGACCCTGGTGTTGAGAGAGACTTACTCATGTTCTTTTCCTTCCCTCTTTTCTTCTGTGGCCTTCCTCACCACTGCCACCCACACCCAGGCATGCCCTTCACCACAGCCTGGCCGCCAGGCACCTCCACCACCAGCTGCTTCCCACACGTGGTCCTCCAGCAGCACCTGAGGCTCATCCCATCCCATCCCACCCCACCACAGGGCCCTTCTCTACCTCTCCCACCTCCGCCTTTTGGTTCCAGCTTCCTCCTCCTGGGAACCTCTAGAGGACTAGAGAAGACTCTAGAGGACTAGGAAGAAACTCTAGAGTTCTTCCTCCTCCTCATCCATCATCTAAACATTCCTTTCCAAGTTCAGGAAATTCTTAATGAGAAAGTGGTCCAGATTTGGGAAGGGTAGGTCAGGGGAGAGTTTCATTCATTCATTCATTAACTCATTCATTCACTCACTCATTCATTCATTCACTTATTCATCAAAGAGTTCTGGGTGTCCTGTGGCCAGCCTTGTTCATTGTATTCACTGTCCCCCGGGGATGTCACAGCAGAGGAGCCCAGCTGTGCACTCCCTCCTGCTTCGTGGAACTTACATTTGAGGCGGGGTCCAAACAACGTAGGTGGTGAAAGCCCCACTTTATTGAGTTTTGGGTAAGGGCCAGTGCTGCCTGGGAGGACCAAGCCAGGAGGACTAAGCATGGTGGGAGCGGGCAGGGAAGGCTGCTGGTGCAGAGCCATGCTGCTCAGGAGAGGTGAGGAAGGGGCAGGGGCAGTGTTGGCATGAGGTTGAGGCTGCCACAGGGCGGGACAGGAGAGGAGGCCAGAGTGGGAGGTGGCCCCTGCGTAATTCTGGGCGTCACAGGCTGCAGAAGGTGTTTGGATATACTCCTCAGTGCCACAGGCGCTCCCTCCACAGGGACCAGGTCTCTGCCAGATGGGGCAGAGGATCGCCCCCGGGGGGGAATGATGGCCAGCCCAGCTTGTCCACGGAACAGAGCTTGCGGCGCTGAGACCCCTTCAGGGTGTGAGGGCATCACAGTGACCCAAAGCAGAAGCAGCCCCCACCCGGCAGTGGTCAGCTCGAGTGGTCAGAGGGTGCCTGAGTTGTCCTCTGTCCTCGTTGCAGGCCCTCGTGGCCTGGGCCCCTGGGCTGCCACAGAGCACACAGGGCGTGATGAAGGTGAGCTTCGAGGGGTGCTCAGCTGCTGGGCTCTGTGTGCCGATTGTGCCTTAGTGCTCGGCTCAGGCCTGAATCCAGGGTAGCCAGAGAGCCCCAGTCAATACTCATCAGAGACAGTGACTCCAATGAGATGAAATATAAACTGCCCAGAAACTGCAGGATGTGTGGGGCCCCCATCCTGAGAGGGCTGCTGCCAGCTGGGAAACATTAAAACTGTCAGAGAGAGGGGAGCTTCGGACCTGCTCATCCCCCAAGCTCATTCCCATGCTCCGGCCATCACCTGGACTG